CTGGATATGTGTTGCTAACCAACAATCAAGTTAATTCTAAATGCTAGAGGGAATACCCATATGGTGTTGCTAGCAAAACTTTGAACATCTAAACAACTAAACATCTATATATATTTATATATATATATATATATATATAGCTATATATATATTAATCACAAGTGGCGGGGTGTGCGTATTGTGAACTTACATCAAATACTCTATATGTATGTGTGTACGTGTTTTTTTTTTTTTCAAATAATATTTAAGCACAACTCCGCCCGATACTCGATATATACACATATATAGATAAATGCCAACGAATGACGACGAAATCGCGAATATTTTAGCTTACAGCAAGGGTATTTACTTGCTTGTGTCGGAACCCACACATATTTACTTGCTAAATGTCTACTACTACTACTGACACATCTATGAAATGAACAATGAAAAATTGCCTGTTCCAGGCGCGAGTGCCACACTTAAAAAACCAAACCAAAAAGAACATATTATAAACAAAATTGTCCTAAAGTTTGGAAAAAAAAAATGGAAAATTTGCGAAATATTTGAAAAATGAATGCAAAAAAAAAAACAAAAGTGTTTATTTTAGGTTCATTTATTCTAAATAGAAGAACCCTTTTCACCTAAATAGAGAAAACTTTCAGAAATGGAAAACATTTGCCATATTTTTGGAGGTTTTTCAAAGTTTGGGAAACAATTTTTTTTTTGGCTTTTAAATGCAAAGACACGCAAACACACACACACATTGAATTTTTGCTAATGATAACCAAGAAAAAATACGATTTTAAATGTTAGCTGTAAGCGTAATTGCATATGAATACCATTTGAATGTGTACATGTCTAGTGTTAAATAATGAATTTATTGTCAAAAGGACATTTAGCCAAGTAAAACAACAAAAACAAACAAAACAAGAAATATATACTAAACTATATAACCTATTCTATGCAAACCTTGAACGCATCAGACACTTGAGAGAAAGTTTAACGATATATACACAATATACAATATATGTTTATGAATATGTATGTCAAACAATATATATATATATATCTATATATATATATATATATATATATATATATATATATTTATATATGTCTATCAATGTGTACGCTGATCCACTTTAACTAAACTATTAACAGAGGCCAGAAAGTATTTCGAAGAATTACAATTTCAATGTGATGCATTTCTATGAGTACATAAAAGAGCAACTAAAACGGTAGCTTAAACAATTCAACTATATTTGTGAACCTGTCGTCCGATTTACAGGATATACACGCATAAATACATGCATACATGTCGTTCTACAGCTATCTAAATACATATATTTATATATTTATGTGTATTAATTAAATGTTCTTCGTATAAGTCTCCATCTAAACATCATTGATTCATTTTTTTGGGCAGTTGAACTTTTAAGCAAACGCTAGCTGGAGTTGGTTTCCAATTTTTTGATTCGTTTCGTTTCGTTTCTTTTCCGTTTCCGTTTTTTTTTTCTTGCTTTCAAGACATCTTTTTATTCGATCCGCAACGGAATGATTAATGCGTGGTAAGGCTTACGGTTCATGCAGCGCTTCATCAAGACCATTCGAAACATTATGAAATAAATGTTAAACGTAAAATAAACACAATTCCGCCTGTTTTCATTTCACAAAATGGCAGCTACAACAATCGCTGAGTTGGGATTAAGTGTCCTGGGGGCGGGAACATCATGCAGAAGCGCAGCAGGAGCTCCCCCAAATGTTATATCAGCCCTTAGCTTTGCATCATTAGCGAAACTAGCTTAGTGGGGACCACCTGCTAGCACTGGCTGTTGCGGCATGGCTCAGGGCTATTCCGCCAACATTCCGTTAGCTATTGTCAGTTAACAGTTAGCATCGCTGTTAGTTAACAGTAGCTTTGTAGTTTTGAAACCTGCTTACTCCGAAAAAAGAACATTCGGAATGTTTGCAGCTTTAAAGCATTCGATGCATTTTACTTAGTTAGCAGGACTCAAGAGCTTTCAAAGCTCTACGATCAAGTTTTCAGGTGAGTAAAAGCTTCATAAAGCTATTGTCTCGACTACATTGTGGCTAGGAGCTTGATTTAAAGTTTAACATAACTATGTTGGCGCTGAAAATATATATGTATAATTATTAAATATATTAAGGTTCTGATCGACAGCAGGGTTGAAAAAAAATTGTTGACTAAAAAACGATTCTTCTTGGACGATTCTTTGGAATATCTCGGCCAAATAATGTCCGATTTTGAATAATGATTGATTAGTACTCACGGTTGGCATTATAAAATTAAAATTCAAGTTTTCTAAATAGGATCGAAAATATTTAAAAGCTCTGAGTTTATACAAACCTCTTGGCGAGCTATTACTAACATTTGTGTTGGCCTAACTTGAGCTGCGTTTCATTAACATTTCCTCTGTTACCAATTAGAATGTTAATATTCCTTTTGTTACCAAGCAGTTGATATTAGCAAACGACGAGCTTTACTAACATTTCTGAGTTAACATAAGCTGCATTCCCTTAACAGCTCCCCTGTTACCAAACAAAAAAATAAAAACACGTTGAAATTTGTTTACATAAATTTTTAATAATTTTATTTGATTTTCAATAATAAATATATTAATTTATTTGTTTTCCTTTTTTGTTTTTATTTTGTTTTGTATTTTTCATTCGTATTGGATGCATTTGTGGTGCTTTTTTCAACCACAGTAGTTTTTTGTATTTTTTTTTAAATCTCGTATTTCATTTTGTGTGCGAGGGTGTGTATGTGTGTTTTTGTGTATGTATGGAAAGGGCTGTTACATTTGGCCGTGTGTATTTATATGCTTTGAATGTACATGCACACATACATACACATACACATACACATATACAAATACATATTCATATACATATACATATACATATACATATACATATACATATACATATACATATACATATACATATACATATACATATACATATACATATACATATACATATACATATACATATACATATACATATACATATACATATACATATACATATACATATACATATACATACCCATTTACAAACACAAGCACACGAATCTAAACAATTTGAAGCTCAGTTTTAAAATCATTTCATTAGCTACAAAAACTTGTTAAGCAATAATTATACAAAAATTTAACTAAATCGAGGGGCGAGTTAAAAACATTGCAGAATGAATTCGAATGCTTTGTATGAAACACAATCTGCGATGCAATTAATTGACTTGTATGCCATGCCATGCAGCTGTTGCCATGTTGTCAAGCTGCATGACATGCAAGCTGCGCCAGCTGCTGATAACAGTTTCTCTTTGTTTTTCCATCTCTAGTCACATATAAAATGTATTCCAATATATATATATACATATACATATATATATATATATATTTAGGCGTGTGTATGTATATAATATGAATGAATGTATATATAAACTTTATAGCTTTATCATTTCAAATTTCATGATTTGTTTTGGGAGGCAAAAAAGGCACTACAATCTAATAATTTCGACGATGACGAAATGAAGAAACTACATATTAGCATTTGCTATCAAATAATTAAATATATAGTATATATATATCTATATATATATTTATGTATATCAGTTAACAACGTGTTACGAATATCGAATTAAAAAGTGAACAACAAAAAGAAACCTGCACAAAATTTGTTGTTTCAAAAGTTCGAAGTAATGCTTAAAAATTCGTTAAAAATGTTCATCTTTTTGTTTTTGATTTTTGATGATTGATGATAAAAGTTCATAATTTATTTTATATATATAATTGTTTTTCTCCTTTTTTTTTTTTTGTTCTTTAACAGAAAACAAGCCTCAGTAAATGCACAGACCAAAGCGCCCATTTACATACTCAATATCAATTTTAAATTGTATTTGTATTTAGATTTATTTAATATGGTTGTTTTCTTTACCTTTTCTTTTTTTTTTGTTTTCGCAGATAACAGTTGTTTAAACCTATTTTTAGTATATATCTTTATGTATTTATTTATAACTTGTCACTTGCTAAAAAAAAAATTATTTACCGCTTTCTTTTTTTTTTTTGTTTTGTTTTTTCGCCTTCATATATTAACTTTAGTTTTTAAATACAATAAAAAAATTGCAATAAATTAGTTTAAAAAAAAAAAGAAATTTAATAAAATACAGTTTAAAGCAGGTAAATAATAATAAATAAAAAAAAATACACATAGTTTAATTGCTTACGCTTAAGTGGTAAATTTTTCATTGTTTTTGTTTTTTTGTTTTTGTTTTTACTTGTTAGACAAATTACAATGCGCACTTAGTTTATAAACAATTTTAAGCATTTGACGGCGCATACAGATTGAAACTAAATATTAGAACTACATTTATTTGCTGCTCTAAGGGGGATTTTTTTGTATGTTTTTTAATTTTATTGTTTTTTGTTTTTTTTTTTGTTGTTTTGTTTTGTTTTGTTTTTGCTTGGAAACACTGCACATTGTGGCCTAGTTATAGATTTGCAATTTGTATGTATTTTGGTTGTTGTTGTAGTACATATAAGTAAATATCGTATATAGAGTTTACAATAATATGTCTATATAAATTCATTGCTTTAATCGCTGTACTCATTTTTCTATATATCGCGTGTTTAGTTAACGGTTATTAATTATCTTTTGGGATCTAGGAATTTGCGGGAGGTTAGCTCGTTGCGATCTTTATAAACACTTTTTTGTCGGGCCAATCGGTAATCTTTAAAAACAAATGCAAGAACTTAAATGTGTATGTGTAATTGATGTTGTTATTATTGTAGTTTTTAGTGTAGTATAGTGTAGTGTAGTCGGTAGTGTAGTGTTGTCAATATGCATTTAGCAACATGTATGTACATGTAAAGTAAATAAATAATATAGAAGTTTTGTATACAGTTATTAATAACATGCAGTTACATATACAATATATTTATATACATATATTATATTTATATATATATATATATATATATATCATGTATATAAGACGATCTGTTTGTTTATTTTATTAATCTGTCAACACGTTTTATCCATCTTTCGTATCAAACGACATTCTTTGCTTATTTTGTGGGGCTGTATTTTCTTCTTTTTTTTTTGTATTTTTCATTTGAAGTTTGTTTTTTTTTTTTTTGTTTTTTCTTGTTTACTCTTTCAACTAGTTAATTACTTGCACACATTTAATTTTGACATATTTATGTACGTATGTATAATATATATAAAAGTTATTCGTGTATTTGTTGTTTGCTGTTGTTGTTGTTGTTGTTGTTGTGTTTCTTGTGTTTTTGTTGCTGTTGTTTGCTGATGTTGTTGCTGTTGAGTTTGAGGTTAAACCTTTAAGGAAATGGAAGCGGATGGATATATTATTTCTTCTTGTTGGTCGCCAACATTGGAGCGCTGCGCTGCGGTGTTGTTGGCCGAGATGAGTTAATGCCGCTGTACAAATACTTGGCCTTCTTTTCGGATGGCTTCAATATCTGAAATGGTATATTTTAAGTTTAATATAAAAAGGTTGGATTATGTATATGTGTATGCCCTACCTGGAATGAGCACATGAGCGTGTCGTCCACGGTCATCATGCCGCCAGCGTTGTCGAATTCGCCGCAATAGTTTGGCGCCGAGAACAATGTGACCAGCTGACGGCGCGCAAAGAACTCGTAGCCATCCTCAACGACCTGCAAATGGATACGAGAGTTAACGTAGAGTCAATTGATTGCTTGGATTTGCTAACCTGATGTGCACGACAAATCAAGTCCAGCTCGTGTCGATTCAAGAACTTGGAGACGACATCAACGCCAAAAGTGAAGCTAACGCCACGATCGTTTTCGCCCCAGCCCTGTACATCCTTGTCGGGATCACTCCACAGCAGGTCGCAGAGCAGCCCGGTGTCGGGCACATCTGTGGGACGCATCAGGCGACGGATCTGCTCCATGCCCTGCAGATCGGGACTGAGGCCACCATGGCAACAGAAGATCTTCTCATCAATAATCGCGGCCACAGGCAGACAGTTGAAACAATCTGTGAAGGTCTTCCATAGTTTAACATTGTAGCGACGCTTGCACTCGTCGTAAAAGCCTGAAATGAAGGTAAGTGAAAACTAGTATAATAAATGTATATCAAATGCTATCCACAATCAGTCTGAATGCTAGGCAAAACGCTTATCAAGAATTGTCTGAGCTGCCATTTGGCACGTCTACGATGAATATGCCATTATTTCGGAAGTTGACTAATGTCAATTAATGTCAAACGTCAACATTTCGCAATATTTCGAAAGTGGACTAATGTATTCATGTCACATGCGATTCATACGATTCATACATTTGATCCACAGTAAAACAAATCTTACGTTGTGTAGAAATAAAGCTATGATTCACATACGATCCACACAGGATCCATATGTCACTTACCATAAATTCTATTAATACTGGCGCACTCATGATTGCCGCGCAACAAGAAGAAATTCTCCGGATATTTGATCTTGTAGGCCAACAGCAAACAGATCGTCTCCAGAGATTGCTTGCCCCGATCCACATAGTCGCCAAGAAACAGATAGTTGGCAGTCGGTGGAAATCCGCCGTATTCGAATAGACGCAACAGATCTGTGTACTGGCCGTGTATATCGCCACAGATGATCAATGGCGCCTCCAGTTCCAGCAATATCGGCTGTTGCAAGAATATCTCGCGCGACTTCAAGCACAAGCCGCGCACCTCCGCCTCCGTCATCTGCACCTGTTTGCCGGTGCGGCAGCTGCGCACTGAAAGAGTTTGCCCCCAGAAAACCGAAATGTTAGTCAAATGTCGCAAAGTAAAAGAACAAAATAGATATACTTATTAATTATATATACAAATGTACAGACGATCAAAAACACTAAACTCTAGCATAGTTCTAAAAAGTGGGACGGAGCTTGGAGGGGCGCAACAAATGCCTAGAACAACATTGGGGAAAAAAACTAATTTATCGACGCTTTGTTTGGGTGGAAAACTTTTGCTGCTGTTGCAGTGCTTGTTGTTGTTATTGCTGTTAGTGGGTTGCCAGGCACAACACATGTAAAATAAAACAAAAATGGGAAAATCAAATGTTGCATACTTTGTGGCGCACAGGCGAAAAGCGTGGGGATTATTATGTATGAATGTGAATGGGCGAGGGCGAGGGCGGGGGCGGGAGCAGGCGGCGACCTTCGAAACACAAAAACAAAAGCGCAATGCGAGCTCAGCGATGTGTGTTGGTTACGCGTGTGTGTGTGTGTGTGTGGGTGTGTGTGCCTTTGTCAGGCGTTCAGCTTCAACTATTTTGAGCGCTCACATGTCAACGCTTCAGGAATATTTCAGACACTAGAAAGCAACTCAATTGCATAAGCAACCAGTGAAGCCCAACAAGTGGGCGTGACAGCGCCTACACACACACACACACACAACCACACGCACACACTTTGAGGAGGCGTTCCGCGTTGTGGCCCTGGCTGTCTCTCCGTTCGCTGTCATTTACTTTGAAATTAATTTTTTGTGCACATGTTGCAGCGCCAAGGGAAACGGGAACGTGTCCCTGCGCTGGGCATGCAAGTAGGTCACGCCCACTCACACACACACACACGAAAAAAAAAATTAAATTAAATTTGCATACACAAAACAGACCGAAAAAAATATATGAATTAAATATATAAAAAGCACAAAGTGGGCGACCCAAACGCTTGGTCTGAAGCTCGAACTTGCCCACAATTCAACTGCAGCATAAAATGGCCCGCCCACACACACACACATACACAGCCACACACACACACACTCCCAAAAGCCACCCAATGGTCAACCAGGGAGCAGCAGCAGGATTTTCCTATTTATAGTTGTATTTCTAGCTGGCAGCTGCTGTCAAGTTTCGCGAAATGCTGCACTTTCAATTGCAGCAGCTGCGATTTTGCAATTAATCATTGTGGGTATGTGCAAAAGGGCAAAGGTAAAGCCAAACCGAATAAGAGAGAGAGAGAAAGAGAGAGAGAGAGAGAGGGAGAAAGACGTTACTTTGGTATTTGATTAATGCGCATTTAGTTTCGACAGTTGATTTTACTTATTAGGGCTTTACTTTAATTACATTTGAATTTCAGCTTTAAGCATAAAGGCAATACTAAAATGAGAAATATGCATTTCACCTGCAATTTAATTTACTTTCTTACAAGTCCTTGCCTTGTTTGGCTTCTAATTTAGCAGATTCCGGGTTGCGTTGCACACATACCTCTACCTAGAAACTATCTGTGTATAAGGCGACATCTCCGACTCTATAAGGTATACTAACAACAGTATACAGGCTTGTCAGAGTCGACACTTGTAGCATATAGATGCCAGTCGAGATTTATATAACTTGAGGAATATTGCTGTCCTCAAGTTATAAGTTTAGCCAAAATAAGTATGCATGCATATTTGTTTTCGAGTGCCAAACGCAGAACATGCATGCATGCATATATTTATACATGCAAAAATGCATGCATACTTACATGCAAAAATGCATGCATACTTACATGCATGTACGCATGTGTATGTATGCTTATATGCTTGTCTTGTTTTTCATTCGAATCGGTAACCAACTCAATATCGAAAATCAAACAAAATCCACGCCTATTAACGATTATCTTTGTTTGTGGATCTTAACCTATGATTCTGTTGAACTGTTGGTTCCTTGTTCGATGCATTTGAACTGGACAAAGTATGAAAATACTTACTAGTATTATCATAATCCTATACGGGAAAATATTTTGTTTAAGGTCCGCAGTTACGCTTCTCCAAACATATTCTAATTGGCTGATATAACTTTGCAAACTTTCTCGTAGCTCATCTACATTTCACTTAGCTTTGTTTTCACAACAACTTCCTGTTGTTGCCCGACTTGGAAGTGGTTCAACTTTGAACCGGTTTGTCACCTCTTCACCTCAATTTGCATGTTTCACCAGCTGCCCACGTCAACAGACATCTGTCATCCGTCAACTTCCATCTGCATTCCGCGTTCTAGTTGCTTTTGTCATCATTTCCGGTTGTCTGGCAGTCAGCACTTTAACTACATTACCCACACACTCTGCCTGCCACTCAATCTGGTAGCAGATGTTGTTGCTACCGCTGCTGCGCACATTTGGAATAAGGCTAAACACTAAATTATGCAGAGCACAAAGGTTTTACTACACCAGCATATGAGATTCGACTGAAGGAGACCTCCTGACTCCTGCCAGTCTGCCTAGGCAGCACAACAAAAGCAGCAACAGCAGCAGCAGCTGCTGCTGCTGCATACTTTTGGGCGCTGCATAATTCGGTGCCAAATCTGCCAGCCAACAGCTGGAGGACTATCGACTGACTGGCAAGTGGGTTTGGTCCACGCATAAATTATGCAACAGCTGCTCCACTTTGTCTCCGCTTTTGTCTTACTCTCGTTGTATGTGTGCGTGTGTCTGTGTGCGTGTAAGTTATGTGCATAAAGTCACGAAAAGCTTACAACCAGATTTAATCTGTGCAGCGCGGTGGATGATATGCGTTACTTTTAATACCCTGTACTCATCAGAGATGCATTTCAGAACAGGCTATACATGACAGAAATGCCGCATTTGGCATGTTTGTTGCAACCGACTAGATTTAGGTGAAGGTGTCTATTTTTGAGCTTGACTTAAGTTCTCGCTTACTTTCATATTCTTCATGCACTTCCAGTTGGTTGTCAGTTTCTAGTGTTAAGCGAATCAAAGGCAAGACCATTTTTCATACTCTCCTAACCTCTTTCTTTGTCCCCTATCACACTTATCAATCAACCAGATGTATCAATCAGCTTTGGGCAACGTGATTAGTGGACTGTACTGTGATCGGTGCTAAAATCGAAACTTTTTCGATGATTTCGTTTTAATATCTCGGGTAATAGCTCCGCGTGGAGATATGACGTTCCAAAACGACATAACTCCCGGCGGAGATATGACGTTTCAAAACGACATAACTCCGCGCGGAGATATGACGTTCCAAAACGACATAACTCCGCGCGAAGATATGACGTTCCAAAACGACATAGCTCCGCGCGGAGATATGACGTTACAAAACGACATAATATCTCGGGTAATAGCTCTGCGTGGAGATATGACGTTCCAAAACGACATAGCTCCCGGCGGAGATATGACGTTCCAAAACGACATAATATCTCGGGTAAGAGCTCCGCGTGGAGATATGACGTTCCAAAACGACATAACTCCCGGCGGAGATATGACGTTTCAAAACGACATAGCTCCGCGCGGAGATATGACGTTCCAAAACGACATAACTCCGCGCGAAGATATGACGTTTCAAAACGACATAACTCCGCGCGGAGATATGACGTTTCAAAACGACATAACTCCGCGCGGAGATATGACGTTTCAAAACGACATAACTCCGCGCGGAGATATGACGTTTCAAAACGACATAACTCCGCGCGGAGATATGACGTTTCAAAACGACATAACTCCGCGCGGAGATATGACGTTCCAAAACGACATAGCTCCGCGCGGAGATATGACGTTACAAAACGACATAATATCTCGGGTAATAGCTCCGCATGGAGATATGACGTTCCAAAACGAAATAATATCTCGGGTAATAGCTCCGCGTGGAGATATGACGTTCCAAAACGACATAATATCTCGGGTAATAGCTCCGCGTGGAGATATGACGTTCCAAAACGACATAACTCCCGGCGGAGATATGACGTTACAAAACGACATAATATCTCGGGTAATAGCTCCGCATGGAGATATGACGTTCCAAAACGACATAATATCTCGGGTAATAGCTCCGCGCGGAGATATGACGTTCCAAAACGACATAACTCCCGGCGGAGATATGACGTTCCAAAACGACATAATATCTCGGGTTATAGCTCCGCGCGGAGATATGACGTTCCAAAACGACATAACTCCCGGCGGAGATATGACGTTTCAAAACGACATAACTCCGCGCGAAGATATGACGTTCCAAAACTACATAACTCCGCGCGGAGATATGACGTTCCAAAACGACATAATATCTCGGGTAATGGCTCCGGGTGGAGATATGACGTTCCAAAACGACATAACTCCCGGCGGAGATATGACGTTCCAAAACGACATAATATCTCGGGTAATAGCTCTGCGTGGAGATATGACGTTCCAAAACGACATAATATCTCGGGTAATAGCTCCGCGTGGAGATATGACGTTCCAAAACGACATAACTCCGCGCGGAGTATGACGTTCCAAAACGACATAACTCCGGGTGGAGATATGACGTTCCAAAACGACATAGCTCCCGGCGGAGATATGACGTTCCAAAACGACATAATATCTCGGGTAATAGCTTTGCGTGGAGATATGACGTTCCAAAACGACATAATATCTCGGGTAATAGCTCCGCATGGAAATATGACGTTCCAAAACGACATAACTCCCGGCGGAGATATGACGTTCCAAAACGACATAATATCTCGGGTAATAGCTCTGCGTGGAGATATGACGTTCCAAAACGACAAATATCTCGGGTAATAGCTCCGCGCGGAGATATGACGTTCCAAAACGACTTAACTCCCGGCGGAGATATGACGTTCAAAAACGACATAATATCTCGGGTTATAGCTCCGCGCGGAGATATGACGTTCCAAAACGACATAATATCTCGAGAACTAGCTCCGCGCGGAGATATGACGTTCCAAAACGACATAACTCCCGGCGGAGATATGACGTTCCAAAACGACATAACTCCCGGCGGAGATATGACGTTCCAAAACGACATA